TTTTTTTACTGCCACAGAGTCAATCCTGATTCATAGTCATTCTGTAGGGCAGAGTCGAATTGCCCCGTGGGTTTTTGAAGTTTTAAATCTTTATGGGAGGAGAAAGCCTCCTCTTTCTCCTGTGGAGCACCTGGGAGGTTCAAACTACTGGCCTTGCAATTAGCAGCCCAAAGCAGAATCCACTGCATCACCTGGGGCCCTTTATTTTTCACAACAGGCATCTGATATTTCTCAAAATTCAGGTCTCACTTCAAATGCCACCTCCGTAGAGATTGCCCCTTGTATACCTTCAGTGCAAAGACCTAGAGCTAGAAATCCAAGAGGGAAGAACACTCTCAGCACACCTTACACTAAACGAACTAAAGAACAAGTTGAGTTGCAGTCTTGAATGATTCTATGGGCAAACTGTTGAATGATTGAGTGGTCAGAAGAAGATGGAAAGAATAAACACTGTACCAAAAAAAGCTAGTTGATATTCTACCCTTTCAAGAGTTTCATATGAGCAAAAACCTATAGTAGGAAGGAAGAAGGAAGAAGTCCAAGCTACACTGAAGGCATTAACCAAAAACAAGGCTTCAGAAACCGATGGAATTCCAAGTGAAACGTTTCAACAAACTGATGAAGCATTGGAAGCCAGGAAATTTAGAAGACAACTGCTTGACCAATTCACTGGAATAGATCCATATTTGTACACATTCCAAAGAAAAGTGACCAAACAATGCAAAATTTATAGAACAGTATCAATGATAGCACTAGCAAGTAAAGTTTTGCTTTTGCTCATCCAACAACGGTTGCAAAAAATACATTGACAGGGAGCTGCCAGAGGTTCAGCTGGATTCAGAAGACATGGAATAAGGAATATCATTGCTGATGTCAGATGGATATTGGTTGAAAGCAGACAATACCAGAACGATGTTTATGTTTTGTTTTGCTTTTTTTTTCCTTTTTGAAAGATGTTTATATGCACATAGATCTATTTCTGCATCATCATATATAAATATATTTACATATGTACATGTCTGTATGTGGACCTCTATAAATGCCCTTTGCCTCCTAGGTCTTTCTATGTGCATCTATTTATAGGTTTAGTATTAAGGTAGCAGCTAGACATTGGACCTTGACTCAAATACTCCCTCAATGCAAGAACACTTC